CCCCACCTCCCAGGACTGCGTTTTGCTACTGGGCTATCAGGAAAAGCCAGCTGCCTAAGTCATCCGTGAGCCAGGTGAGCCGCGGGTGCCGCTCTCAGCACACAGCTCCCAAGGGGCCCCGGTCACCCGCCCCTTTCCACTTCCAAATAGCCGCCACGGCCGGAGCTGGTCCAGCCAGGAGCCTGGAACCCCACCAGGTTTCCCTCGTGGGGCAGGGGAGATGCGGCAGTGGCTGCCCCTCTTCCCATCCAGCTCCCTGCTGATGCCCCTGGGAAAGCAACAGAAGATGCCCAAGTGCTTGGGCCCCTGCACCACGTGGGAGACCCGGACGGAGCTCCTGGCTCCTTCCTGGTTTTGTCCTGGCCCAACCCTGGCTTTTGTGGCTATTTGGAGAGTGAATCAGTAGATATAAGATCTCTGTCTCTCCTTCTCTTTCTGTAGCTCTGCCTTTTAGTAAATAAACAAGTGTTTTTTTTTTTTTTTAATAAAGAAGAGAGAGAGAGAAAGTACAGAGAGAGAGAAAGGAGGAAGGAGGGAAGGAGTTATTCGGCTCCCAGCTCTGGAGGCCCCTTGCGTTCAGCCCTGGGAATGGACTCTCGCGGGCCACAGACTCTCGCGAGCCACAGACTCTCGCGGGCCAAGCCCCGAGGTGGAGCCGAGCATCCCGAGGTCAAAGACGAGGGGCGCACCTGTCTCCCTCTCTTCCAAAGCCACCAGGACTCCATCCTGGGACCACCCTAACACCTCGACCCAATCCAATCTCTTCTCAGAGGCTCCGCCTGTAACAGCCTGACTGGGTTCCGTGTCCACACTTTTCGGAGGGTTACTGAGACTTTGTGTTCCGGGGTGGGGGGAGAATATTAAAAGCGCAGCATTCACACCTGAGGTCCACAAGCAGGTGTGCTGCAGCCGGGGGCCTTCTCAGCAGCCTGCACCTGCTCCCCACTCTAGTTCTGGGGGCGCCCCAGCACCCACAGTCTATCACACACAGGCAGAAAGCTGGAGGAAACTCGCAAGAGTTTTTACGAGGCTGGCGCCGCGGCTCACTAGGCTAATCCTCCGCCTTGCGGCGCTGGCACACAGGATTCTAGTCCCGGTCGGGGCGCCGGATTCTGTCCCGGTTGCCCCTCTTCCAGGCCAGCTCTCTGCTGTGGTCCGGGAGTGCAGTGGAGGATGGCCCAGGTGCTTGGGCCCTGCACCCCATGGGAGACCAGGAGAAGCACCAGGCTCCTGCCTTCGGATCAGCGCGGTGCACCGGCTGCAGCGGCCATTGGAGGGTGAACCAACGGCAAAGGAAGACCTTTCTCTCTCTCTCTCTCTCTCTCTCACTGTCCACTCTACCTGTCAAAAAAAAAAAAAAAAAAAAGAAGAGTTTTTACGAAAGCATCAGCCGGCTCCATCGCCCTGGCCAGAGCTGCTCCTGAAGGGAGTCTGTTTTGGATACCACCAGCTGTCCCCAAAGCGTCGTCCCCCAAACTCACCTCCGTGGCCCCCCCAAAGCGTCACCCCCAAACTCACCTCCGTGGCCCCCCCAAAGCATCATCCCCCAAACTCACCTCCGTGGCCCCCCCAAAGCGTCGTCCCCCAAACTCACCTCCGTGGCCCCCCCCAAAGCGTCGTCCCCCAAACTCACCTCCGTGGCCCCTCTGCGAGTGTCTCCTTGGTGGAGCAGGAGTTTGGAGGGACCTAGTAACCGGGCACGTGTGCCAGTGCCTCAGATCTCAAGGTCTTTGATTCTGATCCGAGATTCCCGACAATGAAATGGGCCGGGCGCCGGGCTTCCTGGTGCAGAGGCACGAGGGTGACCACGGTGTCTCCGCAGCGCCGGGACGGAACGATCCGGCAGAGACAGACCAGCAGCCGCTCGCCCAGCTCGGTCGCCGGGGACAGGCTGTGGCTCCCAGAGCAAGACCGCAACACACAGCGCATCACACAGAGCAGAGACTGGTCTCCCACCCCGAGGAAGGCAGAGGCGGCCAGTCCAAGGCTGGCTGGGCAGCCCGGCCAGTGACTCGGGAGGGCGAGCTGACTCCGCCATCCTCTGCGCGGGGCCTCTGGGTCTGGACCCCCAGTGCCTGTCACTTGCAGAAGTCACTTCCGTTCTCATTCCGGCTGGGAGGGCACTGTGGACGGGACTCCAGGGAGAGGCCCTGGTGACCCTAAAGGGAGACCGGCAACCTGTTGAAGGGGATGGGACGGGTGCGGGGAGCAGTCAGGGGGTAGGACAGACAGAGCCATTGGCCACCCCCTTCCGGAACCTCCGGCCCTGCTCTCTTTTATACCATCATTGCTGTGGCAAGCAGAACAGAGTGAATATGTCCCCTGATATAAGAGGTGCAATGATTAAGTTAATAATCTTTTTAAAGGTTGATTTATTCATTTGAAAGGCAGAGTTAGAGAGGAGAGACAGAGAGGGAGAAAGAGAGAGAGAGAGAGAGCTTCCATCCGCTGGTTCACTCCCCAAATGGCTGCAACAGCCGGGGCTGGGCCAGGCGGAAGCCAGGAGCCAGGAGCTCCATCCAGATCTCCCATGTCGGTGTCAGGGGCTCGAACACTTGGACCATCTTTGGTTGCTTTCCCAGGCACATTACCAGGGAGCTGGGTTGGAAGTGGAGCAGCCAGGACTGGAACTGGGGCCCATAGGGGATGCTGGTGTAGAGGTCAGTGGCTTAACCCAGCCTCCAAGTTAAGAATCAAACTCAGAGTGGAGAAAGGACAGTAGGAACTGGGCTGGGTAGGGAATGAGAGAGAGGGGCAAGGAGGCGGGGGGAGGGGGGGTTGAACATGGAGCATGGGGCTGTGAGCCAAGCGCCGGCCTCAGAGAGTGGAAAAGGCCATGGCTAGTCCCGGGGGCCTCCACTACGGACACAGCCATGGAGGCTCAGATGTCAGCCCAGCGCCTGTGCACCTGTCATTGTAAGCCAGCGACTTTGTGCAACTCCTCACTGTGGAGAAGACAGAGGCCCCTAACCTCCTCCCTCCCTCCTCACTATTGTTAAACCAAACTCCTGGGACAGACGGGCCCTGGATACAGGACTTGCTGAGCCGCTAAGGATGCTGGCCCGCAAAGGCATCGGGACCTGGACAGGTTCCCGTGTGACCAGCAGCACAGCACGGCAGCAGTGGGAAATAAGGCCGCCAGCCCAGACCCAGAGGCGTTTTAGTTATTTATTTTTTAAAGATTTATTTGTTTTATTTGAAAGTCAGAGTTTCAGAGAGGAAGAGACGCAGAGAGAGATCTTCCATCTGCTGGTTCACTCCCCAAATGGCTGCAACCGTCAGAGCTAGGCCAGGCCGCAGCCAGGAGTCAGGAGCTTCTTCCGAGTCTCCCACGTGGGTGCAGGGGCCCAAACACTTGGGCATCTTCCACTGCTTTCCCAGGCCACAGCAGAGAGCTGGATCAGAAGTGGAGCAGCCAGGACTCGAAACCACTGCCCACATGGGATGCTGGCACTGCAGGCGGCGGCTTTACCCGCTACACCAAAACATTGGCTAAGGAGCAGTTTTTTTTTTTTAAAGATTTATTTGAAAGAGAGTTACACAGAGATAGAAGGAGAGGCAGAGAGAGAGAGAGAGAGAGAGAGAGAGAGAGGTCTTCCATCCGCTGGTTCACTCCCCAGTTGGCTGCAATGGCCCGAGCTGTGCAGATCCGAAGCCAGGAGCCAGGAGCTTCTTGTGGGTCTCCCACGCAGGTGCAGAGGCCCAAAGACTTGGGCCATCTTCTACAGCTTTCCCAGGCCATTAGCAGAGAGCTGGATTGGAAGTGGAGCAGCCAGACCTTTTTCTCTGTCTCTCACTGTCTAACTCTGCCTGTCTAGATGAATAGATAGATAGATAGATAGATAGATAGATAGATAGATAGATAAGGTGGCCAAGCAGCTAAAACCGGCCTGCTCAGCAGTAGGTGCTCCACACACATGCCCGCAGGGCTGAAGGCACAGGTGCAGAGAGCCGGGGGACTGCGGGCCTGTGGCCAAGTCCACTCGCATGGGGAACGGAGGAGGAGCAGCCTGGGAGAACGGAGGAAATGAAGATGGGTGTATCAAGGCCTGAGGGGCCCTGCTCCCCCTTCGTTCTAGAGGGTACCGAGACCTCTGGGCCCATCGGCAGGATTGGCTGCCGACTCTGACCTAGGCTGGCTATCTATCTATCTATCTATCCATCTATCCATCTATCTATCTATCTATCCATCCATCTATCCATCTATCTGTCAGCTGTTCGCTGTGGGAGGGAGGGGCAGGTGCCCCGCTACTCTGCAGCCAGCAGATGGGGGGCCGCCGGCGCCGGGGTCCCGGGGCACGCTGGGTCAGCACCTGCAGCTCCCCGGGCCGGGTCCTCGGGGCGCCCTCCTGACCCCACCCCGCCCGGGGGCTCGGCGGCTCCCCCGCCCTCGAGAACCGCAAACCCCGGCCGCCTCGGGGAGGCTTCGTCCCAGGGGCGAAGACGGCCGTGCAGAGACGCGGGGCCGGGCGGCTGAGGGTCCCCGCACGCCTTCGGGGCGGGAGCCGGGCACTGAGCGGCCGGGGCGGCAGGGCCGGCGGGGCCGCCTCTGAGGCGCTCCGGGAACCTCGTCTTAAGGAGACTGGGGTCAGCCTCAAAGACCAGGCGGGGCAGCCCGCACAGCACCGCCCGGGACAGAGGGGAAATAACCCCTCCCTCCATTTTTCAAATAAAAATCCGAGCGGGGCGCACGCGCCTGCGAGGGACACGCCCCCGATGAGCATAGAGACTGCGAGCTAGATCGTCTACCGCCAGCGTGGCTGACATCTTGGGTTCTGGCAGGAAAGTTGGGAACGGCTGGGAACAATAACGAGCCGGCCGGCACCGCCCAACACCTCGAGGGCAAAAGGGCTCCCGTGGGAGCGGAAAATCAGGCGGCGGGGTGAGTCCATCACGCATCCCCAGGAAGAACGAGCTTCCTCAGGTGGCCCACCTCCTTGCCCTCATCCGAGATGGCGGCCTGCGCGGCCGCTCTAGCCCACGCTGCTCGGATGCCCGCAGGGGGCGGTGGCCAGGCGGCTCGTCCTGAGGTGGCCGCCGGGCGGCTCGCGGCGCGCGTGGGCTCGGCAGGTCGTTGAGGACCGTGCGGCCGCGGAGGGCCGGGTTCGCGCGCCTTCCGCAAGCCGACGCCAGCCGTCTCAGCCCCGCTCCCGGGTGCAGCCCCGCGCGGGGCCGGAGATGCCCAGGAAGCTGCTGCTGCTGCCCCCGCTCTGCGTGTCCTCGGCTTTCCGCGCCCCGAGAGCCCGCCCCGCCGCGCCGCCGGCCATGAACGCCGCTCGCACCGGCTACCGAGTCTTCTCGGCCAACTCCACGGCCGCCTGCACCGAGCTGGCCAAGCGCATCACCGAGTGAGCGAGGGGGCGCCGCGGGGCCGGGAGGGCGGGGCCGGGGTCCCTGCCCGAGGCCGCCCCGGCCGGCGCCCCTCGGACTCCGACCCGGGGCCGCCTGGGGGCAGCGGCCGCGGGATCGCGCGGTTCCGGAGCTGGGCGAGCGCTCGGAGGGGACAGACGCCCCCATCCGCCCCCCGCCCCGAGTTTGCAAGCGGAGGCGCTCTGGGCTGACCGCTGGAGGGACCTGAGCCCCCCAGCGCCGCTCCCGGAGCCCGCTCGCCGGCCCTTTGTCTCCCGCCCCCCCCCCCCCCGCCCCGCGCGGCGACGAGCCCCCGGCCGCCCCCCGAGCGCGTGCCCTGGCGGGGCTCGCTGCCTTTCCCACGGTCGGCGTCCGGCCGGCGCCATTCCCAAGGGTGCTCGGAGCGCGGGGCGGGGGGGACCCCAGGACGGAAGGCGGCGGGGTAGGGTGCGGGGAGGGCCGGGAAGCGGCTCGCCCGCGTCGGTGTCCGGAGTGGTGGGTTTGTGAGTCGGCCTTAGCTGGGACCCGCCCTGGGAAGTGGAGCGCTTTGCTGGGCCCGCGGTCCCGAGTGGCCTTTGGGGCCGCCAGCTCTGTCTCGCCCTCCGGCCTCGCCGTTCCCGGCGCGCTGTCGCTGGGAGAGACTTGTTTTCCCGTGTTAGCGTCGCCGAGCAAGGGTGCTGCCGTCCGGGGTCAAGGGTGTCGGAGCCTGGCCGCGATAAGATCGGGTATTCCAAAAAGCAGAGGCCAGGTGACGGTGATGGTGACGCCGCCACCTGGCTGCCAGCAGCCGCTGTTAGGAGGAGCCCATCTGAGAGGCAGAGAGAGAAGGGGGCGGCGGGGAGACCGAGACAGGCGGAGACCCCCATCCTCAGGTTCACTCGCCCCCAGGTGTCTGGGCCAGGTGCCCCACGTGGGTGCCAGGGGCCCAAGGGCGTGGGCAGCCCCTGCTGCCTCCGGGTCCGCATTAGCAGGAAGCGGTGTCCGGAGTGGATCCGGAGCTCGAACCCAGGCCCTGGGAGACGGGCGGCACCGAACGCCCGCCCCACGCCTACCTTCTAGCTCCATTTATCCACGAGCCGTTCGCAGTGCCGCACACAAGACTGAAGGAACAGCTTGACCTCTGACACCTAAAGGCGGGCTCGGCTTTGCCGCAGCTCGCGAGGGGTCCCCGCGAGGGGTCCCCCGCAGGGGGTCCCGGTCGGCTCACGCGGGGTCCCCGCGAGGGGTCCTGGTCGGCTCACGCGGGGTCCCCGCGAGGGGTCCTGGTCGGCTCACGCGGGGTCCCCGCGAGGGGTCGGGGTCGGTACCTAACGGGGGCGAGCAGCTGCGAGTTGAGGACGGGAGACTTTGGCGAGTGTTCCACTGGCCTGCTGTCCGGATGGGGCTCCAAGTGGGGTGAGAGGAGGGCGAGAACCCCTCTTGCCGTCCGCTGCCTGGAGGCCTGGTGCTGGGAGCCGGTGCTTGTCCTGCGGGTCACCTCGCCCTCCTGAGCGAGGAGGCGGAGGACGGCCAGAGTGGCCTTTGCTTGTTTGGGTTTTTGCTTTTTTTGTATGAGGTTCTTGGCTGCTGCATTCCAGCGAGATTTTCAGTTGCTATAAATAATCGATTGCTGAGTAAAACAAGCCTGTATCTGCTCGGTCAAGTCGGGGTTCTCAGTCAGATTTTAGGTGAAGTTGAGTCTCGGGCCTGAACTCACGGCCATCGCTGGTCAGACGGCCCGGGCCACCGTCCTGTGCTTATTGCCCTCATTCTTTTCAGGGTTAAGCTTTAAGCAAGGATCTTCAAACTATCTTTTTCTTTTTTTTTTTTATTTTTTTTTATTTTTATTTATTTTTTTTTTTTGACAGGCAGAGTGGACAGTGAGAGAGAGAGACAGAGAGAAAGGTCTTCCTTTGCCGTTGGTTCACCCTCCAATGGCCGCCGCGGCCGGCGCGCTGCGGCCGGCGCACCGCGCTGATCCGATGGCAGGAGCCAGGAGTCAGGTGCTTTTCCTGGTCTCCCATGGGGTGCAGGGCCCAAGCACCTGGGCCATCCTCCACTGCACTCCCTGGCCACAGCAGAGGGCTGGCCTGGAAGAGGGGCAACCGGGACAGAATCCGGCGCCCCGACCGGGACTAGAACCCGGTGTGCCGGCGCCGCTAGGCGGAGGATTAGCCTAGTGAGCCGCGGCGCCGGCCCAAACTATCTTTTTCAAGATTTATTTATTTGAAAGGCAGAGTTACAGAGATGCAGAGGTAGAGAGAGAGGGAGAGAGAGAGAGAGGGAGAGAGAGGGAGAAGGAGATAGAGAGAGAGAGGTCTTTCATCCGCTGGTTCACTCCTCAAGTGGCCGCAATGGCGGGAGCTGGGCTGATCCAAAGCCAGGAGCCAGGAGCTTCTTCTGGGTCTCCCACGTGGGTGCAGGGCCCGAGGACTTGGGCCACCTTCCACTGCCCTCCCAGGCCACAGCAGAGAGCTGGATGGGAAGTGGAGTAGCCGGGACTCAAGCCGGCACTCGTACAGGATGTGGGCATTGCCGGTGCCAGCTTTACTTGCTAGGTCACAGTGCCCCCCCCCCCACTTTTTTAAGATTTTATTTGAAGGGCAGAGTTACAGAGAGAGGGAGACAGAGAGACAGAGGTCTTCCCTCTGCTGATTCACTCCCCAAATGGCTGCAAAGGCCAGAGCTGGGCCAGGCCAAAACCAGACGCTTCCTTGGGGTCTCCCACATGGGTGCAGGGCCCAGCACTCAGATGGGTGCATCAGCAGGGGGCTAGGTGGGAACAGAGCGGCCGTCTCTGACTGGTTAAAAAGTGGCTCTTTGTGATGGACTTTTTTTTTTTTTTTTTTTTTTTTTAATTTAAAAGGCAGAGAGAGAGTGGCAGAAATGGCCCATTTGCTAGATCACCGCTGAAATGCCTGCCGTGGTTGAGGCCTGGGACGGGCTGAAGCCAGGAGCCGACAACTCAGCCCAGGTCTCCCACAGAGGACCCGGCCGCTTGTGCCGGCACTCGCTGCCTCCCGGGGTGCAGGAAGCAGGGTTGGGAGTGGACCCAAGGCTGGCACCCAGGCTCCGACGTGGGATGTAGGCCTCGTCACTGCCACACCGGACACCTACCCCGTGCTTGATTTACTCTAACCAGGGCCCACGGCAGGTCCTCACCCACACTGCCGTGGGTCTTGATCTCCACACTTTTGACAAATGAGGTGTTTGTCTCCGGCCGAGATGTCTGACGTCACTGCTAATAACCAAATGTTGGGAATGATTTCCGTGCCGGTCACTCATAAAACAGTAAACTAGACATTGACTTTGGCTGGTGGCCTCTTTATAGTAGAAACAGTGCATTGTGGAATGATGAGCAGCTTAGCGAGTGACACTGGAATTTTAGTTCTTACTGAATTAGACTTTCTCTGAGCTTGCTTGGGGAAGAGTGCATGTCTAGTTGTTTGAGTTTTTGTTAACACATATACACATCAGAGGGCCAGTTCAAGTCCTGGCAGCTCCACGTCTGACCCAGCTCCCTGCGGTGCACCTGGGAAGGCAGCAGGAGATGGCCAGGGGCTTGGACCCCTGCACCCGTGGAGGAGACCTGGTTGGAGTCTCTGGTTTCTGGCTTCAGCGCCAGCTGTCGGAGCATTTGAGGAGGGAACTAGTGGATAGTGGATCCTCTCTCTGTCTTTTTCCTTCTCTCTCTCTCTCTGCTTTTCAATAAATGAATGTTAAAAAAAAATGTGTACATATGAACTGGAGCTTCTTTAAAAAAAGAGAGTTCTTCATTGCCTTTGTGTGTCTGTGTGCCCACAGGCGTCTTGGGGCTGAACTGGGGAAGTCTGTCGTATACCAAGAGACCAATGGAGGTGAGTCACAATCTTTTTTTTTAAGATTTATTTTATTTATTTGAAAGTTAGAGAGAGAGAGGTAGAGACAGAGAGAGAGAGAGAGAGAGAGCGAGCTGTCTTCCATCCCTGGTTTACTCCCCAGATGACCTCAACAGCCAGAGCTGAACTGATCCAGAGCCAGGCGCCAGGAGCTTCTTCCGGGTCTCCCATGCGGGTGCAGGGCCCAAGGACCTGGGCCATCCTCCACTGCTTTCCCAGGCCACAGCAGGGAGCTGGATCAGGAGTGGAGCAGCTGGGTCTTGAACCAGCACCCATATGGGATGCCGGCACTGCAGGTGGCAGCTTTACCTGCTACGCCACAGCAGCAGCCCCCCAAATAAATTTTAAAAACATTTAAATATAGAATCCTTTTTCAGTTCTTAAGAAATCCTTGCACTGGGGCGTGTTTGCTCCGCTCTGCGGCACGACGTTGGCCGAGGGTGCTTGAGGCCTCGTGCTGGCAGCCCTGCTTCGGAAGCCTCGTGGTGGAGCCGCGCGCGCCCGGTTGCAATGCTCTCATTCACTGGCATTAAGTCATTTGGGTTTATTCTTGTGGAACGGAAACTCCAGGTTTGTGGTTTACGCCCCTTTTCTCTTCGTAACGTGTGATTATCTCCGTAGCTTGAGCAGGTGAGCTAAGACACAAGAGGATGGTTGGAGCGCGGAGGGAACGCCAGGGGAAGGGTGCTCGTGTCCCAGGCCGGGCGGGTGTCAGTCCCGGGAGCCGTCGTTAGCCCCATGTCCTCATCCTGCTCCCACACTAGCGCCTCTTAGCTGGTGACTTTGGAGACTCGTCTCCTGCCCCGGGAGTTAGAGTTTAAGAAGCTGAAGCTGGGTGTGGGTAGGTGTGGTGCTGTTTTTTAAAGACTTACTTATTTATTGAAAGGCAGAGTGATAGAGGGGGAGAGTAAGAGCTCTCCCATCTGCTGGTTCACTCCCCAAGCGACCACGATGGCCAGGGCTGATCCAGGCTGGGGCCAGGAGCTCTATCCGGGTCTCCCGTGTGGGTGCAGGGGCCCAAGCACGTGGGCCACCCTCCACTGCTTTCCCAGGCCACAGCAGGGAGCTGGATGGGAAGAGGTGCAGCGGGGACTTGCCCGTACTAGGGTGTGCTGGGGCTGCAGGCAGCAGCTTGGTCCCTGCTCCACAGAGCCGGCCCTGGCAGCCCCTGGCTCGATTCAGGTGACGCCTTCGGGGGTCTCATGTGAGGAGGACCCTGAGCAGGAGAGGGTGGGGGTGAGGATCCCCTTCCCTCTCTCGGTCTCTGTCTCGGAGGAGCTTCCACCACCTCCACCTCTGTTTCTTTTCTCCTCCACTCCCCCCAGGACATTTCTAAAATGCAGCTCTGCTTCCCCCAGGCTGGAGTGCAGTCTCCCCAGTGGTCAAGCGGGGCCCTTTGGGATCCGGTTCTGCCTGCTCACCTGCCTGGTCTCTGGTCACATCCTCTGACCAGGACTCCTGTGGGTGCAGGCGGGGGTGGGGGCCCCTCCCTGCTGCCACTCCTGCCCTGCCACCGTTTTCTTCGCAGGAGCCAGTAGATCACACCTTTCCAGCCCTCTCTGGCACTCAGGATGAAACCCGGAGGCCTGCGTGCTCAGGGCCTGCTGGTTCCCCAACCCCCTGCCTGTCTGCCCCTTCCCGTCACTCACCCTGCCCCCACGTCTTCCACATTCCGGCTTGAGTGAGGCCTTAGTCCCCGCCCTCCTAATCACTCTCCCTTATCACAGGGGTGAGTCTGGCACAGGGAAGCCGGAGCTCGGAGCGCGCCTGCCTTTGCTGTGTCCTTGCTTGGTCTTGGTCCCTGTGTGGTTCAAGTCCCCCCCTTCAGGGCCCAGGGGAGTAATGAGGATGTGGAGTCTGTGCTGTGGGCTCCTCCCCCGCCGGCGAGGACGTGTGTCTGCTTTTGTTCCTTACCCTGAGACTGTGCACAGACTGGGTGGTTAGACGTTCTTTGTTTGCGCTTCTGTTTTTGGCTGATTTTCCCCAGGGTTGGTGGCCTTCTGAGGCCTGTTAAGAACTTGATTGTGGTGTCGGGTGGGGGTTGGTGTAGATTCGTCTTTTCTCCCCCAAATGCTGTCTCCTGGTTGCGTCACGAAATGCATTTGTGAAGCTTCGGAACATTCTTGTTTTCCAGAAACAAGAGTTGAAATAAAAGAATCCGTTCGCGGCCAAGACATTTTCATTATCCAGACAATACCCAGGTAAGAGCATGTTCGACGCACCCGGTCCTCCAAAAACCTCAGTGACGGAACTCATGATCTTCTCATATGCACGCTGAACCAAGGTGGCCGCCTGCCCTGCTTGCCAGGCTGTGTGGCTTCTGGCCTACCTGACCCCTGGTGGACTTGACCCCTCGTGTGCCTGACCCCTGGTGGACTTGACCTTGCCACAGCTTTAACTGCCTCAGGGGCAGACCGTCCTGCCCCACTGTGCACAGAGCCTCGGCCGGTGCTGTCAGCTCAGCTCTGCCGCAGGCCTTGCTGCTATCCGCACCGCGATTCTCCGGTTTCCACCTCCAGCCTTTCTCCGTCACCCTCGCCAGAGGGCAGGGGGGACCCCAGGGGTCCTGCCAGTCTGCGCATGAACTTCCTTGTGAACTGGTTCCGTCCTTGCTCAGGAACAGGGCTGTGGAAAAGCCAGGTCTGCCGTTCCCTGGTCAGCTGGGATTCCCGACACCTGTGCATCGTTTCTAATCCTTAACTCGTGCGTGCAGCTCTTCATGGTCCCTGTGGAGGGGTCTGAGGGCCACAGGGCCGCGGAGCGAGTGGTGCACGCGCAGAGAACAGAATCCTGCACAGTGGGAGGCGCTGGGTACCTGTTTTTCTCGCCTCTCTCTGATTCTGACCCTAAACACAGGCAGTGTGTGGGGAACCCCATTCTTCTGAGAGGACTCGCTTCCCTGGCTGTTCCTCCGCGTGCTTCAGTACGCGCAGACCAGTTTGGACTCCGGAAGTTTAAGTGATCCTCAGAGCCAAAACACTCAATTTAAATGTTCCTCGCACAGCAGTTGTGTACGGGGTTGGAGTTTCGGACATGTGACCTCTGCCCCGGCCTCTGCCTCCCGGCTGCCCTCCCTGGGGGCTGGGCTGCTCCTGGCTCCAGGCCCCAGGCCCCATCGAGCCATCACGTCATACGCGGTTCTCTCAGTCTTTACAGAGAGGAAGTCCGCAGTTCACTCTGAGCTTTTTTTAAAAAAGATTTTATTTATTTATTTGAGAGTTACAGACAGGGAGAGGGTGAGACAGAGAGAAAGGTCTTCCATCCGCTGGTTCACTCCCCAAATGGCTGCAACAGCCAGAGCTGGGCTGATCAGGAGCCAGGGCCTTCTTCCAGGTCTCCCACGCGGGTGCAGGGGCCCAAGGACTTGGGCCATCTTCTGCTTTCCCAGGCTACAGCAGAGAGCTGGATCCAAAGAGGTGCATCTGGGACTAAGCCAGTGTCCATATAGGGTGCTGGCACCGCAGGTGGCACCGGCCCCCACTCTGTCGACTGTTCCCTCCCCTCCCCTCCCCTCCCCTCCCCTCCCCTCCCTTCCCCTCCCTTCCCCTCCCCTCCCCTCCCCTCCCTCTCTCTCTCTCTCTCTCTCTCTCTCTCTCTTTCTTTCTTTCTTTCTCTTCCTCCCTCCCTCCCTTTCTCCCTTCCTTCCATGTATGTATGTATGTATAAGGCACAGTTGCCCACAGAGAGGGAGGGACAGAGAGGTCGTCCATCTACTGGTTCATGTCCCAGATGGCTGCATTGGAAAGGGCTGGGCCAGGCTGGAGCCAGGAGCTTCTTCTGGGTCACCCACGCGGTGGCAGGGGCCCAACCACTGCTTTCCCAAACACATTAGCCAGGAGCTGGATCGGAAGTGGAGCAGCCGGGACACATACTGGTGCCCGCATGGGATGCTGGCATCACAGGTGGTGACTTTAGCCGCTATGCCACAGTGCCACGTCCTGAGGACTTGGTCCTAAGCCACACACAGCCGTGAGAACCAGGATGTTTTCACTCACCCGTGACTGCCACGCTGTCCCCCACTCAGGTGCCGCCCGTCGTCCCGGGGGTGTTCGGCGGTTGCGCCCGTTCACTCCTCTTCTGGGCAGTTTCAGTCTCCCAGTGACTTTCCGGTGGCTCTCGAAGACTTGGACCTCTGCCGGTTACTGTGCCCAACGCCCAGTTTGGCCTGGTCAGAATTTCTGCGGGCTGAGGTTCGGCACATTGCACGGCGCTGCTCCGTGAAGTGGTGTGTGGGTGTCCTGCCGTTCACCCCGCCAGGCGTGGGGGGCTCGTCCTCGCGCTGACACAGCTCCTGTCGCCCGTGTTTCAGGGACGTCTAGCAAGGCTCCGCGGGCGGACGCCGGCATGAGGGTCCCAGTGTTGTACTGATCGCAGGGCTGCATTGGTGGATTTTTGCGGTTTTTGTGCTATTAACACATGTGTTTGTGTTGCCTTTGAAGATAGACTAATTTACATTCCCTCCCGTAGTTTTGGTTTCTGGTTTGCCTCCTGGTGTCTTTGCTTAGTGGAATTCACAAGTACCTTAGAAGCGAGGGGAAGACCCAGGGCGGGCATTTGGCCTAGGAGTTAAGTCACCTGCCTCCCGTGTCAGGGTGTCTGGTCCACGTCTTGGCTCTGCCCCTACCCAGCTTCCTGCACTGCGGGAGGCAGCATTCGTAGCTCAGGTCACCAGGCCCCTGTCACCCAGTGGGAGACCTGGTAGAGTGCCTGGCTCCTTGTATCAGCCTAGCCCAGCCCCTGCTGTTGCAGGACCTGAGGAGTGAACCAGTGGCTGGCAGCTCTGCCTGTCACCCTGGGTGTCTGACTCTCCGCCTCAAACAGAAAGTGAAAGAAAGGAGAGGAGGGCTTGAGGGGCTGCCCAGGGACCCACAGGGAGACGGCCTGAGCCTGCCTCTGCTTCCCGTCCCGCATAGCTTTGGACGTGGTGCCCGGTGCGTGGGCACCTCAGCAGTCGTGCTGGGGGTCTCAGGGACGGTCTTGGAAGAAGGTTTGACTGTGGTCCCGCACAGTTCCTTTTCTGTGTGTGCGTGTCATGTGGAGATGCGTATCACGAGATGGATAGGTCTTTTTTTTTTTTTTTTTTTTCCTGTTTATACTTTATTTGGGCCACATAAATCGGAATCAGAGTTTCTGCCGGGAGTCACCTTCCCTCCGCCCGCACGTCCCACCTCCCCGCCGGCCGGGTGGCTGGCTTGGCCTCTCCAGTGGCTGCTGGTTGGAGAAGCTTTCTCAGCCGCCCTTATCCTCGTCCCTGGTCAGCTTGGTGTTAGCTGTCACTTGCAGGGAGCCTTGGCACTGCCGTGGCTGCTCCATGGCTGTCTGTGCTCACCCGGGCCTTTGTCGGCCGGGGTGGTTAGGTTGCGCTGTCACCGCTTTTTCCAGCCTGAACCCTTGAGCTCTTGGGGCACAGGACAGAGCTGCCTGTAACCCTCAGTCCTGGCCTGGGTCACCTGAGACTCAGAGGGCCGGAGGAGGACGGAGCCTCAGCTTTCATGGCCAGAGGCCGGCCAGCCGTGTCACCGAACTCCAGCAGGTTTGGAGGTTGAAGTTCAAAGGCCGTGTCGGTTGGCAAAGTCCCTAACAGTCCCCGTGGCAACAGGAAGTGTTGCGGAGGGGTTGTTTACCTTTAATTCCTGCTGCCTGGAATTCCTCATCCTTCTCCTCTGCTGCTCTCAGATCCGGCTGAGCCCGGGTCCTGCTTCCTCCTCCCATCAGACCCCAGGGAGTCTCTGGTGTCTGCCTGTTGTTTGAATTCCTGAGCGCACGGTCCCAGGGTAACTCTGCACGCTGCTAGCCATGCTGCCCCTTCAGTCCCCCCTGCCCTCAGATGCTGCTCCGGCCACGGCAGTGGGGAGAGAACTAGTGGATGCAAGGCCTCTCTCTTTCAAATAAAATGAAAGTACAGTTTAAAAAATCAAAGAAATGCTCTAGTAGTGTTTGAGGTTCACAAGCAGTCTGTAGACAGGAGGGCGTCTGCTGGCGTCTGTGTGACGTCTGTGGGTCCTGTTGTGGACCCCGAGGTGTTTCCAGGCCCCGGGCTTCACAGGGCATCCGCCCTGGGGGTCTGCTGTGGGAGGGGAGCACTGCCCTCTGGAGCCTTCTGACCCAGCTGAATTCTCTCCTTCCTGGGAAGCGACCCAAGGGGCCCCAGGGAAGTCGCCTTCTTACGCGATGTCCCCTACCTGACCCAGTGCTTGACTCGGTGTTTTTTTCTTTTAATTTAATTTTTGTTTATTTGTGAAGCCAGAGAGACAGAAAAGGCAGGTACAGCTCCCATCCATTGCTTCACTCCCTGGACGCCCACAGTGACTCTGACTGGGCCAGGTTGAAGGCAGGCCGGGAACTCCATCCAGGTGTCCCTGTGGGTAGCAGGGATGCGACCAGCCATCGCCTGCTGCCTCCCAGGGTGCACATTAGCAGGAAGCTGAGACTTGACCCAGGCATTCCTGTATGGGGTGCAGGAAAGAGTTGTTTATTTAATTGAGAGCGAGAGAGAGATCTTCATCTACTTCACTCCCCGAATGGCCGCAGTTGAACTAAAATGATCAGGGTTATGAAGTGATCAGGTGTTTGAAATTGCTTCAGAAGCGTGTTTATCACAGAACCCTGCGGGTCGGTCCTTAGGAGAAGGACAGGTCACAGCGGCGAGGCTGGGATTGTGGAAGTGGAAGCCATCCCGGGGGTCAAAGGTTGTCCTTGTGTTTGCTCACTCCCAGATACGCTCTGCCTGAGGGAGAGGCTAGGCAGAGATTGGGAGAGACAGCCTGATTGTCTTTCAATTTGCATCTCTCAGTGAGTGTTTCATTCTAGCACTTAGGCACACCTCAGTCAGATCCCTGCTGTGTAGACAGGTTTCCCCCTGCTAGAACCCAGGTGGAACGGACCCCTCACGGGTGGGGTAGGGGCTGTTGGAGGGCCCTGAGTGATCCAGGCGGGAGGAGCTGGGCGGGGCAGCCGGGTGCTCAGTGCTATCCCTGGGAATCCCCTTCCTTGTGGCCTGGGGCTCACTTTTCCTCTGAATCTGCATATCTCTGGGAATAATGGGACAGGGTGGTTTTTGAAAATAAATACCAGTTGGGGCCTGTGCTGTGGCTCACTTGGTTAATCCTCCACATGTGGGCCCCGGGTTCTAGTCCTGCTTGCTCCTCTTCCAGGCCAGCTCTCTGCTGTGGCCCGGGAGGGCAGTGGAGGATGGCCCAAGTGCTTGGGCCCTGCACCCCATGGGAGACCAGGAGAAGCACCTGGCTCCTGGCTTCGGATCAGCACAGCGTGCTGACCATAGTGGCCATTTGGGGGGTGAACCAACGGAGGGAAGACCTTTCTCTCTGTCTCTCTCACTGTCTAACTCTGCCTGTCAAATAAATAAATTAAAAAAAAAAAAATACCAGGACTTGTCCCTCTCAGCCCTCCCAAGACAAAGAATAAATCCTCTTGTTAATGGCACCCAAATGGAAGGGCGGCGGGTTCCCTTGGCATTCACCTTGGCCTGAGTCCCAGTTCCTGGAAGGGCGCCAGCAGGTGTCTGAGTGACTGTGGCCACTGCAGTAGCTGTGTCACTGACACGCAGGTGTGGGGAAAGGTGAGGGCAGGTTAAGTGTGCTGTGCGTCTGAGTACCCACAGGTGAAGACCTGCGCCTGCCCAGCCTCAAGCAAGACTGGCTAAGCCGTCCCCTGCCCCCGAGAGGTGCCATCCTAAGCTAAGTCGATGAGGGAGTGCCGGCAGCACCGTCCCGCTGCCCGTGTGAAATGGCTGGAGGCAGGATCCCTTCTAGGGGTGAGTACGTAGACCTCATCGCAGATCCACGGTTCCACTTTCAGAGATGTGAATACGGCTGTGATGGAGTTGCTGATCATGGCTTACGCGCTGAAGACAGCCTGTGCCAGGAATATCATCGGCGTCATCCCCTACTTCCCCTACAGCAAGCAAAGCAAGATGAGGAAGAGGGGCTCCATCGTGTGCAAGCTCCTGGCTTCGATGCTGGCGAAGGCGGGTGAGTGAGCCAAGGCCTGGGCTCGCGGCGCCCCAGCGGGCTCTGCCCTGTTGGAGGAGAGCAGCCCTCAGCGGGCCGGGCCGGGAGCCGGCGCCTTCCGTGGCGTTCAGCGAGTGCTTCTTCTCGTTTGTCTCCCCGTGCAGTTGGCTCAGGGACACGTGAGCTCAGGCGCGGTTCTTGTTGGCTGTTCTCTGTGAGGAGGACGGTGCTCCAGGGTTTCCTGCTCTTCCAAACCGCGGGCTCTTCTGTCTCTGTCACTTCCCATCTCATCTGCTCCTTATGAAAGGGCTAGCCGGCCATCTTGCGTTCTTGCGCGATGTTCTGAGCTCCAGGTCTAGGTTGACGTATTTGCCTAAGTTAGCTGCGTTCTGTCTGTGTCCATAGTTCTAAAGCTGGATTTTTCTCCCACTGCTTCTCCAGTCTGTATATTCTCGCCCCCTCCTCCCATCGCCTTTCTGTGTAGCAGCCACGTTCCCTGCTCTGTTCTCCGTACGTAGCAGGCCGGACACTCTGGCCTGAAAATAAAATGTAATAACGTCTTGGAGTTACTGAATGTTATTTGCCTGTTGTTTATCCTAAAGCTCGGTTTGACCCCCTGGAGACTTGCGTGCACGTGCGTTCTGTCATCTCTAGGAAGGCGGCGTGTCGTTACAGCGCGAGGACCACTGCCTCTCTGCCTCTGTGCTGGCAGCGCTGCCCCCTTTGCAGGGCGTTTCTCGGCCCCTCGTTGCTGGGCACTGTTGGCGTGCGAGCGTGTCTCCTCTGCTTCTCTGTGAGAGCGCTTGACCCGCCCTGCCGTCAGGGGTGAGGCCTTCCGGAGCCCAGTGAGTTCCCTCCTTCTGGTCAGTGTGTCACACTGCTTGTGCCTGTTCTTCCTGATGGAGACCTTGCTGTGCTTTTAGATCTGTGATTACTTTGGGGTGTTAGCTCCCTACTCAGAGTTTTGCTTCTGCCTCATTTTTCTTTTCTCAATGTTCAGGACCCAGCTAATAGTAAGAGTGGGCGAAGCGCCTGCTCGCAGTGTCAGTTCTCTGCCCCCAGGAAGCTTAGCGCGTCCCAGCCCTGGGCCTGCAGGGTCTTTGGTTGCGTCCTGTTGGGGTGACAGTGCGGTCTGACGGCTGTGCTGCTCCCACGTCCCATCTCCTGAGCATCTGCAGTCGTGACCTTGTCGGGACGCACGTCGTGACCTCCCGTTCTGACCCTGCAGGTCTGACTCACATCATCACCATGGATCTTCACCAGAAGGAAATCCAAGGCTTTTTCAGCTTCCCCGTGGACAACCTCAGGGCCTCGCCTTTCCTGCTGCAGTACATCCAGGAGGAAGTGAGGAGCCCGGCGCACGCCCCGCGGTCTCCTCCCGAGTCAGGTCCCACAGAAGGGCCCGGCCAGTGACCTTGGCACCTTCCCAGACAGCCAGACGGCTTCAGATTTTAAGAGACCCAAAGCAGGTTTCCTTATAAGGACTTTCAGCGGTTCGCTTATGTTTTCTGGAATGAAGTTTTTCTCTTTGTTTTTCAGATTGCTTACTTGAAAGGCAGGAGTTAGAGGGAGGGAGAGGCAGAGAAAGAAACAGATCTTCACCCACTGGTTCACATGGGGTGCTGGCTTTGCCGGCAGCTTGACCTGCTGTGCCACAATGCCGGCCACTGAGAATGAAGGTTTTTTTTTTTTTTTTTTTAATATTTATTTATTTGAAAGTCAGAGAGAGAAGGAGAGACAGAGAGAGAGAGAGAGAGAGAGAGAGAAAGGTCTTCCATCTATTTGCTGGTTCACTCCCCAGTCGGCATCAACGGCCGGAGCTGTGCCAATCCAAAGCCAGGAGCTTCTTCCAGGTCTCCCACGCGAGTGCCGGGGCCCAAGGACTTGGGCCATCTTCTACGGCTTTCCCGGGCCACAGCAGGGAGATGGATTGGAAGTGGAGCAGCCGGGACTTGAACCAGCGCCCATATGGGATGCCTGCACTGCAGGTGGCGGCTTAACCCACTGCGCCACAGCGCCGGCCCCAAGATTGAAGGTTTTTAAGAATTGTTTTTTTTTCTTGATGTGGCAGTACTTTTGCAGTGATAGTAAGTGCTAAATATTTAGATGTGTGAATGGTATCTAGCACAGTTGATTGCTACAGCCAATCTGAAGTGCAATGCCAGCGTCTGGGTGTTTTATTTCTTATTATTACAACATCTTTTTTTGTTGTCGTCCTTATTTACTTGAAAAGCAGAGTGACTAGAGACAGAGATAGAAAAAGAGAAAAAAATCTTCATTCACTAATTCACTCCCCAAATGTCTGCAATAGCCAGGGCTGGGCTGGTCCAAAGCCAGGAGCCAGGATTCCATCTGGGTCCCTCATGTGGGTGGCAGGGGCCCAGGCATGTGAGCTGTCACCTGCTGCCTCCCGTGGTACAGTAGCAGGGGCAGGACTCCATCCAGCACTGTGATATCGGATGTGGGCATCCCGAGCGATGACTTAACCCACTGCACCACAGCCCCAGCCCCAGCCCCCAGCGTGTTATGTTTTGATATCTCTTCAGTATTTTCTGTTTTTCTTCCAAATCTAGATTCCAAATTATAGGAATGCAGTCATTGTGGCTAAGTCTCCCGATGCTGCAAAAAGGTAAGTAAATGAATTTGTGAAACTCCTTCCTGGGTGCTTCTGTGTGGAATCCAGGCTGTCACAGCGGAGCCCAGGGGAGCTCTTTGGCACGTGTCCCCCACATGCTTGTCACATCCCGCTGCACGCCTTGTCGCCTGGCCCGGGTACCCACAGTGGGCCCCTGACTTCCTCAGCCTTCCTCTGAAGGATGGTGGGGTTCTTCCCTCCAGTTCTCGGGGAAAGGAAAACAATGGGGCTTTGAGCATTTTGGGGGGAGGGATAGTTTTTAAGATGTTTTTGTGATCAAAGTCCTTTCTTTTTTTAAAAAAACGTATTTATTGGCTGGCGCCGCGGCTCACTAGGCTAATCCTCCGCCTAGCGGCGCCGGCACACCGGGTTCTAGTCCCGGTCGGGGCACCGGATTCTGTCCCGGTTGCCCCTCTTCCAGGCCAGCTCTTTGCTGTGGCCAGGGAGTGCAGTGGAGGATGGCCCAGGTGCTTGGGCCCTGCACCCCATGGGAGACCAGGAAAAGCACCTGGATCCTGGCTCCTGCCATCGGATCAGCGCGGTGCGCCGGCCGCAGTGCGCCGGCCGCGGCGGCCATTGGAGGGTGAACCAACGGCAAAGGAAGACCTTTCTGTCTCTCTCTCTCTCACTGTCCACTCTGCCTGTTAAAAAAAATAAAAAAAATAAAAAATAAAAAAAAAGTATTTATTTGAAAGGCAGAGTTACAGAGAGGCAGAGGCAGAGAAAGAGAAGTCTTCCATCCGCTGATTCACTTCCCAGGTGGCTGCAATGGCCAGGGCTGGGCCAAGTTGAACCCAGGAGCCAGGAGCTTCTTCCAGGTCTCCCATGTGGGTGGCAGGGACCCAGGTACTTGGGCCATCTTCCTTTGCTTCCCCAGGTGCATTAGCAGGGAGTTGGATTGGAAGTGGAGCAGCTGGGACTCAAACCAGCACCCTTATTGGGAGGCTGGTGTTGCAGCCTCCGGCTTCACCTGCTGTGCCACAGTGCCAGCCCCCAGCTGTACCTGCCGTGCCACAGTGCCAGCCCCTGGACCGAGTCCTTTCTTTGGAAAATGACCTAGAATATTTGGACAAGGATAGAACCAGAATTACCTAGGGTCAGGCACTAGCTCAGATGCCCCTGGAGGCATCTGCCTTCCGGCCTGCACCTGACACCCTGATAGGCAGACACCCTGATAGGCAGAAGCCTTTGTGTGTCCCTACAGGCGTGTGTTTGCACCTGATGGCTTGCACGGTGATGGGTGGGTTTCTTTCCATCGGTCTCCCCATTTCCCGTTGTCTTCTCTGTCTTCCATGCAGGGCCCAGTCCTATGCCGAGAGACTGCGTCTGGGTTTAGCCGTGATCCACGGAGAAGCTCAGTGCACGGAGCTGGACATGGACGATGGCCGCCACTCCCCACCAATGGTCAAAAACGCGACTGTGCACCCGGGCCTGGAGTTGCCGTGTAAGATGAGCTCTGTCTTCACCGTGCTTGTAAATGGAAAGTTTTTAGTAGCCTGGAGGTCAAGCACATCTGTGTGGATTTCTGCTGTTCGCTGTTTGCTTTTCTTAACTAGCTGGTTGGTGTTGCCCCGGTTGCGAAGGGGACCGCGTGTGTTACGCCACCTGCAGACTGGGTGAGGACGGTTGAGCTCACCTGGGTAGGAGCCGGCATGCCGAGAGCACTGGGTAGGTGTAGCTCTGGTCTGCGTGCAGATGCTGTGGAGTCTCAGCTTGCGGGCTTTGGTGAGAGGAGCGATAGTGACAGTTGGCCAATACCAGACTGTGGCCATCGGATCACTTTAGGTCTCGTAGACATTGAACTTGTGGGCTCACTTCCTTCTTTTCTTTCAGCAGAGTTACATAGAGATAGATCTTCCAGGATGAAGCCAGGAGCCTGGAACGCCATCCGGGTCTCCCATGTGGGTGCAGGGGCCCAAGCACGGGGACCACCGTCTGCTGCCTTCCCAGGTGCATTAACAGGGAGCTGGATGAGAAGCAGAGCAGCCAGGACTGGAACCAGTGCTCAGATCCGCGATGCGGGCGTCGCAGGCAGCAGCCTGACCTGCGCAGCCGGGATTCTGGTCCCTAATGAAAATTCTTGATATCAGAATTTTACTTAACTTTTGAGGCTCTCCTAATTAAAATTCTTGAGTGAGTTACACATTCACATATTTAAAAGCTCAGGAAGTATGAACTCCTTCGCGGTACAGAGGCTCCCAGCCGCCCCCAGCCTTGGCCGCAGCACAGCAGGTTCTTGTGGCCGCTGGATCAGCAAACCTGTGTTTCTTTCTCTCTTTCCCACACAGGTGACAGTGGATTGTACACATTGTTTCACCCCTTGCTTTTTCTCATACAATTGCTTTTTCATTCAGTATGCTCTCAGAACATACAGATTTCTCTTCCTTTTTTTTTTTAAGATTTATTTTTATTTATTTGAAAGAGTTACAGAGATCGGTAGAGACAGAGAGAAAGAGATCTTCCATCCTCTGGCTCACTCCCCAAACGGCTGCAACGGCCAGAGCTGAGCTGATCTGAAGCCTGGAGCTTCTTAGGAGTCTCGCACGTGGGCACAGGGGCCCAAGCACTTGGGCCATCTTCCACTGCTTTCCCAGGCCATAGCAGAGAGCTGGATCAGAAGAGGAGCAGCTGGGACTAGAACCGGTGCCTATATGGAATGCTGCTGCTGCAGGCCAGGGCTTTAACCTGCTGCGCCACAGCGCCGGCCCCAGAACATACAGATTCCTTGGTCTTTTGCAGGTTCATAGTATTCAGCCCCCTGTTGGTATACCTGTAGGCTTTTTCCCCAGTCTGTGGCTGCAGAAAACAAAGTCCCACAGTAATAAACACCTGCGACCCCTCACCAGGTATCGAAGCTCTTCCAAGCCTGTCAGCAGATCGCGGCGCTTGTCCTCACACGGCCCTGCCTGTGCTGTCTTTTGCTTTAAAGACTTATTTTGTTTCTGTCCATAACTCTGCCTTTCAAATAGAGTGACAGAGTGATCCTTCATCCACTGGTTGACTCCACAAATGGCCATGATGGCCGGGATGGGCCAAGACAAAGCAAGGAGCCTGGAACTCCATCCGGGTCTCCTACATGGGTGGCAGGGGCCCGAGCACTTGGGCCACCTTCCACTGCTTTCCCAGGTGCCTTAGCAGGAAGCTGGACTGGAACCGGTGCTGGTGTTGCAGACGGTGACTTGACCCGCCACAGCGCCGGCCCCTGTTGTTAGCCCTCATTCGGCTCAGCGGGCAGCAGACCCGGCCTGCAGCTTGCAGAGCCAGGCTTTGGAATGAGGGTGCTGGCTCCAGAACCCACACTTAGAGAAAATGTGAATCCCACACGTTCCCACTGTTCTTCACGGCCGGCCCTCGAGTGTAACATCTGCATGCAGCGTTGGTGCCGTGGTGAGAGTGAGCCGCGGACACAAAGCAGCTTTGTTCCTGACGCCTCTTACGTAAGCGGCATAGCGATCAAATTCAGGAACTCACACTGTTGTAATGCCGTTATCTAATCCACAGGCCTTGTGCACATCCCACCAGTGTTCTCTAGAACAAAAGATAAAACTTCTTTCCTGTTCCAGGCCCTGATCCAGGGCCGCACAGCGCATTTAGTTGTCATTTCTCTTTAGCCTCGTTTAATCGGGGATGGCTCCTCTGTCCTTTGTCTCCCCTGACCTTGATGCTTCTAAACAGTGCGGTGCTGGTTAGTCTGTAGACTGTCCCCTAATTGGGGCTTGTTTGTGTCCTCGTGGTCAGATCCAGGCTGTGCGTCTTGGCACAGGCTCGCAGGAGGCATGTGACGTGCCCGTTGCTGGCGAGGGCGTCGCCTGAGGCGGGCTTCTTGCAGTTCGGCCGCTCTTCTCCCCGTGTGGAGCCTACGTGGTATCTGGTTTCTCGTCCTGCGTGGCGTCCGGGGATGAGTCTGGCTCGGATCGGTTGTCACGGTGGTTGTCGCCAGTCCCTCGTTCCTTCTGCATTTATTTGCTCACATCCTCCTTCCTTCCTTGTTCATCCCCATTCCTGTCAGTGTGGATTCCCAGAGCCTGGGTTTCCCCAGGGGGTTATAAGCCATTGCTATTTTTGGTTTTAATGCTCAGAGTTTCTCAGACCTGGCCAAGTTGCCTCCCGTGTCTTTTGAAGCCTCATTTATTGACTTACTTGAGGAGTGACAGAGAAGGAGAGACATCCACTGGTTCACTTCCCAAATGGCTACAACAGCCAGATTGGACCAGGCCAAAGCCAGGAGCCCAGACTTCCATCTGGGTCTTCCACATGGTTAGCAGGGGCCCAGGTACGTGGACCATCACCTGCTGCCATCTCAGGTGCACTGGCAGGGAGCTGGATGGGAAACAGAGCAGCTGGGACTGGACCAGTGCTCTGATACGGGGTGCCGGTGTCAGTGGTGCCAGCCCCGCCTGTGTCCTTGTGATGTTACATGGCCCCTTCATTTTTTCTGACACTAACTTACTTTCTGGTACAACTAGAAATTCCATGTTCCTCTTCTGTTTTCTTAGCCCTGGAATTGGCCGTTTCTGAAGGGAGCCCTGGTCCTTTGGTGGGGAATGATGTTCGGAGACCAGGACTGGGCTGCAGGGTGCACAGCTGGTACAGTGCACTGCTGCCCGGACTGGCCTGGACTTGGGCCCGCTGCTGGGAAAGCTCTAAGCAGCCGCATCTCTGGGTCTCGGGTTGTGCTGTGATCCTGCTGTGTCAGCGCGGTGTTTTCTCCGGTGAGATTCTCCGCCCTGAGAACGCTGCCCTGTCCCTTGTGGTCGTGACAGTGTATCCCCTCCGTCCTCTCTGTGCCTCGTGGGAATGTAACAGCGCATTCCTTCATAGATTCCGGGTGGTTACATTGTAACACGGCAGTGACCTTCGCTCATTTTCTCATTTTAATACAGATTTACTCTAGAGAATGTTTTTTTGAGGGGAAAAAAGCAAACCCGTTATTTTTTGTATGTATAATTGTACCTTCCAAGTTCAATGTATTGGTTTTTTTTTTTTTTTTTTTTTAAGATTTATTTATTTATTTGAAAGTCAGAGTTACATAGAGAGAGGAGAGGCAGAGAGAGAGAGGTCTTCCATCCGATGGTTCACTCCCGAGTTGGCCGCAACGGCCGGAGCTCCATCCAGGTCTCCCACATGGGTGCAGGGGCCCAAGGACGTGGGCCATCTTCTCCTGCTTTCCCAGGCCACAGCAGAGAGCTGGATCAGAAGAGGAGCAGCCGGGACTAGAACCGGTGCCCATATGGGATGCCAGCACTTCAGGCCAGGGCATTAACCCACTGTGCCACAGCGCCGGCCCCCAATGTATTGTTTTTAAGTAAGATGTATTTATTTGCTTGTAAGGTAGAGTTACAGAGAAAGAGAGACTTTCCATTCACTGGTTCACTCTCCAAATGTCTGCAATGGCCAGGGCTGGGCCAAGCCAAAGCCAGGAGCCTGGAACTCTATCTGGGTGTCAGACGCGAGTGGCATGACAAGGCCAAAGGAAATGAAATATTTACCCTTGGAATCTTTAATTTTTTTTAAAGATGAACTATTTTATCTTCCTTTTTTTTTTTTTTTTTTTTTTTTAAAGATTTATTTATTTATTTGAAGGCAGAGGCAGAGAGAGAGAGAGATCTTCCATCCACTGGTTCACTCCCCAGATGGCCACAGTGGCTGGAGCTACGCTGATCTGAAGCCAGGAGCCAGGAGCTTCTTCCAGGTCTCCCATGTGGGTGCAGGGCCCCAAGGACACGGGCCATCTTCCGCTGCTTTGCCAGGCCATAGCAGAGAGCTGGATTGGAAGTGGAGCAGCTGGACACGAACTGGCGCCCCTATGGGATGCCGGCACTGCAGGTGGCGGCTTTACCTGCTACGCCACAGCGCTGGCCCCTGTTTTATCTTCCTTGAACCTACTCTTTGAGAGCAGTGGTTCTCACCCAGGGGTGATTTTCTCCTGCAGAGGGTATTTGGCGACGCCCTCCCAGGGGGAGTCGGGGAGCTGTTGGCGTCTAGAGGGGCCAGAGCAGAGCAGCTGCCGAGCGTCCTGTGGTGTGAAATGCGGGCGGTGCTGAGGCTCGGAAGCCCTGCTCTAGGGTAACTTGGGAGGAGTGCAGTCGCGGAGCAGGTGTGTGGCCCGGGGTTCCCACGTCTGCGCCCCACCTTGCAGCGCCTGTGTGCAGTGCTCACTCCAGGCTGGGTTCCTGCCATCCACGTGGAAGGTCTGGACCGAGTTCTGGACTCCCAGCTTTGGCCATGGCAGACGTTTGGTGTAATGATAAACTACAACTTGGGGCATCCACATCGTATATTAAGAGTCTGGGTTTGAGTCTACGCGACTGCCAGTTCCAGTTCCCTGCTGATGAACGCCTGGGGCCCAGGCGGTTGGGCTCCTGGAGTGGGCGTTGTGGGCGAAAGCCACCACTTGGAACGCCCGCATCCCGTGTCAGGGTGCCTAGCATTGAGTACTGCCCCTGCTTCTGATCCAGCTTCCTGCTATGTGCACCCTGGGCAGCAGGTGATGACTCAAGTACTTAGGTCCCTGTCACCCACACAGGAGACCTGTTTGGAGTTCCTGGCTTCTGACTGCCCAGCCCTGGCTGTTGAGGGCTTTTGGAGGGTGAACTAGCAGATGGAGATCTCCCTCCCTCCCTCTCTCTCTGCATGTGTGTCCACATCCTTTTAAAATAGTAAAAATAATAAAACAGTCAAAGGATTTGAATTCACATTTTTAAGAAGTGGTATGAATGAAGAAATGAAACCTTAAGACTTTTTTGTATTGATTTATTTCTTGGTTATGTTTATTTATTTGAAAAGCAGAGTGACAGAGAGAGAGAGAAGGAGAGAAAGAGAGAGCGCTTCCATCCACTGGTCACTCCCAAATGCCTGCAGTAGCCAGGGCTGAGCCAGACTGAAGCCGGGAGACAGGAACTCCATCCAGGTCTCCCATGTGGGTGGTCCAGTCTCTGGGCCGTCTTCCACTGGTCCCCGGGTGCATTAGCTGGGAGCTGGATGGGAACAGAAGTGAGACTGGACCCCAGATAACCTGATCTGGGTTGCAGGCATCCCAAGTGGCGGCCGCAACACCCACCCTGAATTTTTCCCTTTTGAAGGTGGACTTGATACCACACTGGTGATTGGCAAACAGCTCTAAGAGCCTGAAAAGATGGTGGGATTCCGTTGTAGACTTCTGTATTCACCACCAACAGTGGAAATGAAAATTGGAATCACAAAAACGAGAGGAGGTCAGCTTTGCTGGCTTGTTAATTTTACAAGTGGCGATGTTGTCACCACTATGGAAGCAGATGTAGGCCCTCAGCATCTGTGAGTGTGAGCTGTGACTGTTCACGTGCAGATGGGCTCAGGAGCCTGAAGCCTGGCCCCTCCCTGCCTGACTTCCTGTAAGAGAGAGAGAGAGGCCGGCGCCACGGCTCACTAGGCTAATCCTCCGCCTAGCGGCGCCGGCACACCGGGTTCTAGTCCCGGTTGGGGCGCCGGATTCTGTCCTGGTTGCCCCTCTTCCAGGCCAGTTCTCTGCTGTGGCCAGGGAGTGCAGTGGAGGATGGCCCAGGTGCTTGGGCCCTGCACCCCATGGGAGACCAGGAGAAGCACCTGGCTCCTGCCATCGGATCAGCGCGGTGCGCCGGCCGCAGTGCGCCGGCCGCGGCGGCCATTGGAGGGTGAACCAACGGCAAAGGAAGACCTTTCTCTCTGTCTCTCTCTCTCACTGTCCACTCTGCCTGTCAAAAAAAATAAAATAAAATAAAATAAAAATAAAAATAAAAAGAGAGAGAGAAAGATCTTCCATCCACTGGTTCACTCTCCAAATGGCCGCAACGGCTGGAGCTAAGCCAGTCTGAAACCAGGGGCCAGGAGCTTCTTCCGGGTCTCCCATGTGGATGGCAGAGGCCCAAGCACTCGGGCCATCCTCTGCTGCTTTCCCCAGCCATTAGCAGAGAGCTGGGTCTGAAGTGGAGCAGCTGGGGCTGGTGCCCAGGAGGGATGCCGGCACTGCAGGCCATGGCTTTACCCACTGCGCCACAACACCAGCCCGTCCTGTCCTCTTTTTAGTGACCTTTTTTTTTTTTTTAAAGATTCATTTTTTATTTATTTGAAAGACAGAGTTACAGAGAGAGAGGTAGAGAGAGAGAGAGAGGTCTTCCATCCGCTGGTTCACTCCCCAGATGGTCGCAATGGCTGGCGCTGCGCTGATCTGAAGCCAGGAGCTGCTTCCGCGTCTCCCACATGGGTGCAGGGGCTTGGGCCATCTTCTGCTGCTTCCAAGATCATAGCAGAGAGCTGGATGGGAAGAGGAGCGCCGGGACTAGAACCAGTGCCCATATGGGATGCCAGCGCTTCAGGCCAGGGTGCTAACCTGCTGCGCCACAGCGTGGGCCCCTTTAGTGACCTTCTGCTGATAACACTTGGCATTCCGCTGACCTAGAAGTAGAACAAGGTCAAAATGTCAAGGAACGAGTGATCCCAGTCGTTTTGTGCTGTGATTTTAGCTCAGAAGTTTTGTTGATTGACTGTGCGGTGAAGAACGCAATTGTGCATGTGTGCCTATGCTCACGAAAGCTGGGTGGTCCCTCTGTGACCCAAGGATGGCTGTAAGTGCAGCACTACATTTTTAAAATAATAACCGTTTATGTAGTACAATGTGATGACTTAAAAAAAAAAAAGATTTAGCCGGCGCCGCGGCTCACTAGGCTAATCCTCCGCCTAGCGGCGCCGGCACACCGGGTTCTAGTCCCGGTTGGGGCGCCGGATTGTCCCGGTTGCCCCTCTTCCAGGCCAGCTCTCTGCTGTGGCCAGGGAGTGCAGTGGAGGATGGCCCAGGTGCTTGGGCCCTGCACCCCATGGGAGACCCGGAAAAGCACCTGGCTCCTGGCTCCTGCCATCGGATCAGCGCGGTGCGCCGGCCGCACCGCGCCGGCCACGACGGCCATTGGAGGGTGAACCAACGGCAAAGGAAGACCTTTCTCTCTGTCTCTCTCTCTCACTGTCCACTCTGCCTGTCAAAAAATAAATTAAAAAAAAAGATTTATTTGAAAGGCAGAATTGGAGAGAGGGAGAGATAGAAAAAGAGGTCTTACATCTGCTGGTTCACTCCCCAAATGACTGTAACGGCCGGGGCGGACCAGGCTGAAGCAAAGAGCCTGGAGCTCCACTGGCTCTCCACGTGGGTGCCAGGGGCCCAAACACGTGTTTCCGGGCACGTTAGCAGGGATCTGGGTTGGAAGCAGGGCAGCCAGGACTTGAACTGGAGCTCATACGGGTGCTGGCATTGCAGGTGGTGGCTTAACCTGCTGCACCACAGCGCCAGCCCCAGCACAGCACTATTTTACTTGGAAAAATGCTAATCTTAAAAACAAAAGACAGTTTTCTACTTCCCTAGTAAGTACAGGGGAAACCATCCGGTGAACTCGAGACATTTTTACTGTGGCTGATCCCGTTTGAACAGTGTTCCAGCAGCAAGTAATGTTGCATGGATTTTTTTTTTTAAGTTGTATTTGTTAATTTGAAAGGCAGCGATACAGAGAGAAAAGGAGATAGGGAGAGAGAGCCATTTTATTCTTAAGCTGGGTTTTGTTTGAGAAAATGGAGAGAAGGGGGCCAGCACTGTGGCGCAGCAGGTTAAGCCACCGCCCGGGACGCTGGCTTCCCGTGTGCACGCTGCTCCACTTCCCACCCAGCTCCCTGCTGATGGCCTGGAGAAGCAGCCGGAGACGCCCAAGTGAGGGGTCCTGGCTCCTGGCTTCAGCCTGGATCATCCCTGGCCATTGTGGCCGTTGGGGAGTGGGCCAGCAGTGGGCAGCTCGCTCTCTCTCCCTCTCTCTGTCTGATAAATACACAAATCTTCAAAAGGAAAGAAAGGAGACAGGAAGCAGAATCATAGACTTGGGCGTGGTTTTTGTACCTTTTATCCTTGACCTTCAGGATGTATGCATTTTTTTAAATATTTTTATTTACTTATTGGAGAGGCAGAGTTACAGACAGGGAGAGGCAGAGAGAAAGGTCCTTCATCCACTGGGCCACTCCCCAGATGGCTGCAACGGCCAGAGCTGGGCCAATCCAAAGCTGGGACTTGAACCTGTGCCCATATGGGATGCCAGCGCTGCAGGCAGAGGCTTAGCCCACTGTGCCACGGCACCAACCCTGTGGACATACATACTTTTGTAAAAATTTGCAATTTTTAGCGTTTTGTTTTCTGGGAAAGCAATTAGAAAATTGTTGGCTCCCCCTTAGTCTATGAGGTACTATCATTTTCCTCTACACCATAATAGTCTGTCTCTGTTTTTCAGTAGCCACCAAATTATGGGTTCCGTATTACCCAGATCCTAAGTCCCATGTGAACAAGGAGTGATTACATTGGGGAGAGGGGCCTTCTCTTCAGGCTCCAGTGTAGCCGTGCCTCGGTTTTTCATTTCAAACCAACAGTAGACTTTGGGAGGAGGTGTGGTTGTATAGACGTGAACTTGAGGGGCCTGTGCTGCGGCACAGTGGGTGAAGCTGCCTCCTGTAATGCCGGCATCCCATATGGGCGCCGGTTCAAGTCCCGGCTGCTCCACTTCCGATCAGCTCTCTGCTATGGCCTGGGAAAGCAGTAGAAGATGGCCCAAGTCCCTGGGCGCCTGCACCTGCGTGGAGACCCGGAAAAGTTCCTGGCTCCTGGCTTCCGATCAGCCAAGATCTGGCCATTGCAGCCATCTGGGGAGTGAACCAGCTGATGGAAGACCTCTCTCTCTGCCTCTACCTCTGCCTCTGCCTCTATCTAACTCTGCCTTTCAATTAAATAAATAAATTAAAAAAAAAAAAAGAAGAAGGAAACACGAAAATCATGACTGGTTTTTTCCATCCGACTGGAGCTGAACGTGTGCTGATCTTGCCTGGCGGACGCTGACCTGTGATCTCGTGCGTCGCCCCAGCAGCGGCTCGGTGACCCAGACCCTGCCCAGAGCCCACAGAGGTTGTCTCTGGTTTGCCTTTCCTCCCTCTTAGGGGGTATTCATGTCCAGAGCTGCCTCAGCTGCCCACATTCAAGAAGTTAGTTGGCTATTTTTGGGGGATGGAAAATCAGGAAATTTTCTAGGGGCAGATGTTGTGGCACAGCGGATTAAGCCGCCGCTTGGGATGCCTGCGTCCTTTGTGGGAGTGGCTGGGACCCAGCCTTCTGCTACCGCACACCCTGGAGACGCCAGGTGATGGCCCAGGTGTTTGGGATCCTGCCAGCTACTGGGAGACCCGGTGGCCTGGCTCAGCCCCGATTGTTAGGGCATTTGGAGTGAACCTCACAGCAGACAGAGGGTCTCGCTGCTTCTGCCTCTCTCTCTTGCTCTGCATCAACCGTGTCTCGGGGCTTCTCCCTCCCAGCTTGCCAGCCCTCAGGGTGCTGCCTCCTTTCCGTCCGGCCGCAGCTGGGCTTTGTGCCTCGCTGGCGTCTCCCGAGGCAGCTTGCGCAGTGAGATAAGAGGCCTCTGCTTTCAGGAGCAGTTAACTCAGGAAAACTTGACGGCAGCAGCCGCTGTCTCCGTTCCTGGTGTTGGGGGAGGGATCCCGTCGGCCGTGCAGCCATCAGGCTGTCCTGGCAGAAGGCAAGGCCACTCCCCGTTCAGGCGTCTACACAGCGCGCTCGTTCCCCCTTGTCTGCTGGCCCCTGTGAGAGTTGGGGTTTTCCACTGTGAAGGCCATTGCAGCGCTGATGCTGTGTCCCTTCCCCACACACGGCCCCGGCCACGCACCGTGGTGGCTCTGAGTCACGTGTGGGCACTGGGCTCTGGAGACGTGGCTGGCCTCGAATGAGAAGCCTGCGCGTGAAGTGCACACCGAATACTGAGACCTAGGACGGGAGGAACGTGGAGCGTGTGGTTGATACGTGTCCGTGTCAGTTACACGTGATGGGGACCTGTAGATGTGTTAGGTGAGGTAAAACCTGCCGCCGCCGCCTGCTGGTTGTGTTGGGAGGCAGAGAGGAGCCGGTGCCCGCACTCGTCCGGTGCTGCGTGGCTGACGGGGCTCTTGCGACTTGTGTTGCTTCGTCTCGACAGTGATGATGGCCAAAGAGAAGCCGCCGATCACCGTGGTCGGGGACGTCGGAGGACGCATCGCCATCATAGTGGTAGGTGCTGCCCCCCCCCCCCCCCCGCCCCGGGTGCACAGCGGCACTGCTGGATTCGCACGGTTCCGTCTCCTCTCACCCAAGCTCCCTCCGACGGGTGGCGGGAACGTGTGGCTGCGTACAGCGCCAGGCCCTGTCCTCAGGCCACGCCCACCGAGGAGGCCGCAGGCCCGGTGCGGCTCCCTGCGGCGCTCCTTGTCTGCTGGTGAGCGCCATAGTCCTTTCTTCGCACCGGCCACTTTGCTTCTGTCTCCTCTCGTGTTCTCTCGGGAAGGAATTACGTGGGGCAGTGACTGTGGGGTTGACCTGATCAGGGGTTAGTGTTTTCTTTCACTTTACTTCAAAGGCAGAGACAGCGCGATTGTCCGTCCTCTGGCTCACTCCCCAGATGCCCACCGCAGCCAGGGTGGGTGAGGCCCAAGCCAGGAGCCAGGGCTCAGTTTGGGTCTCCCACGAGCGCTGGGGCCTTCGCTGCGGCCCCAGGCTGCACTTCAGGAGCAGAGTTGCTGGGCTCGCGCCAGGCCCTGCAGTAGGGGTTGCGCTGTCTCAGTCTGGGGCGGGGCAGGGCTCCGTGTCGCCGGGACTTGCCTGGGAAGCACCCTGCCCTTTGCCACATGCGCGGCTCGGTCGCGCACTTCTGCCGTTTCTGGACGCCTGGTCTGGGGCGCAGGCGCACAGCTCTGGCTTTCCGTGGGACGCCCTCGGGCCGAGGCGCGTGGCTCTAACGCAGGCCCCCCTGCAGGACGACATCATTGACGACGTGGAGAGCTTTGTGGCTGCGGCAGACATCCTCAAGGAGCGGGGTGCTTACAAGATCTACGTGATGGCCACTCACGGCATCCTGTCCGCCGACGCCCCCCGCCTCATCGAGGAGTCCTCCGTCGACGAGGTCGGTCCGCCTTGGAAGGGCTCGCAGGCCTTCCGTGCGCGATGCGGTGACTCGGTCAGTGTGGGGGCAGTGGGGTATGCTCGGGGCCGTGTCTGTCTGTATCTGTGCGCTCCTATACCGTGAGGCCCCAGCAGCGTTTCTCTGGAGACGAGAATTCCCCCCCATACCACGTTCGGTCCTGCACGGTGCTGGGGCTCCCTGTGTCCCGACGCCCCCGGGAGCCGCGGAGCTCAGCGGGCTTGGTAAGCGGCGCTCGGCGGAGCAGAGCTCGGGACTGGGGCGCGGGGCACGCGTGGGTCACGTGTCTCTTCTGTCGCCCCAACGCCCAGGTGGTGGTGACGAACACCGTACCCCACGAGGTGCAGAAGCTGCAGTGCCCCAAGATCAAGACGGTGGACATCAGCCTGATCCTTTCTGAAGCCATCCGGAGGACCCACAACGGCGAGTCCATGGCCTACCTGTTCAGAAACATCACCGTGGACGACTAGCTCGCCGTGGCCCGGGGCTGCCCCGGCGGCCCGCGGGCGGCGGTGCTTCCTGGCGGGGGGCCCCGAGCCGCCGGGATGGTCTCTGGCTGTCGTCAAGCCGACCGCACTAAGCAACTCGGCCTTATGTTTCTGCCGTCGGCAGCCCTGGTTCCTTAAAGCAAAAGTTCGTCTCGCTTTCCTGAGAAGTCGGGCGATCCTGCCGACGTGGGAGAGGGGTCAAGGGCAGACGAGTCCGTCTTCACTCTGCAGCCGTCACCCGGCCGTTCAGCGCGCGGCAGTGCAGGGTTGGCCGAGCGCCCCTGCCCCAGCCCCCTCCGGTCGTCCTCTCCCGGGTCGAGTCCTCGCCAGTCTTTTCTTTCAGAAGCTGCTGTGCCTACCGCCCCGGACGGCGGAGCCCTGGCGACAGCGGGGCCGGGGAAGAGCGGCGGCCCCGGGCGTCTGCGCTGCTCTCAAGCTGCAAATAAAAGAATCTGTTGTCTCGCTCGCCTCCCGTCTGCCCCGTGGGGCCACCTGCGCCCTGCCTCAGTGGGGACCGACTCCCGGCCAGCTGCGCTCCACGCCGCTCACAGCCCCTGGACGACCCCACTGCCGGCGCCCCCCCCTTCCCAATAAGATCCTGAAAATCTGAGTCCAGGAACGTTCAGGAGTTCTTCAGGAAGCTCATGGAAAAGGAGTATGATGATAAAACGTGCGAGGATTTCCCAAGTGTTCGCTCCAAAATGGACTGAAACCCATTTTTCCATGAACTTTTGGAAGCCCCCTGCTGGAGCGAGCCCTGCTTTTCCCTGGAGGACGGCGCTCAGGGTCGTCGCCCTGCGCTGAAAGGGCACCGTGGCTCCTGTAGTTTCATCACCCGCGGCGGGAAGCCTCCCCCCAGCAGTGGGGCCGCCTACAGCCGGTGTCGGCCGGAATGGTCGGCTGGGGGTTCCCGTGGTTCTGTCAGCGCCCGGGGGCGGGCGGGAAACCCTGGCATTCGTAGTCGCGTTTCTCTGTGGGGAAGTTTGCCCAATACTGTGATCCTGCTCCTAGTGACGAAAGTTCCCAGCCCACCGTCGAGGGAGGCTGCAGCAGCCTTTCCGAGCGCCCGTCCGTCAGGGGGAGTCGGGGGCTGGCCACCCGGGCCACGTGGCGTCGCGTGCTGCGGTCAGCCAGAGCTCGGCCGCTCCCCACCAGCTCCTGAACCAGAGCGGGCACGGCACGGTGGCCCGGGCTCCTGGGGCCCTGCCACCCACACGGGAGGCCCTCCCTCTCTTTCCCCCTGTCCATGTGGCTGTCAAATAAATAAATCTTTATAAACAGGGAGGGGGCAGAATCCGAGCAGAGCCGCGGCTGACAGTGTGGCGGGAGAGGAAGCGTTGTGGGCACTCGGCCGGGTGACCTGCTGTCACTGTGGCAGTGACTGGGCCTTTTGTCCGCTGTGAGAGAGCAGGGTTGGGGCTGGACACGTGTCACGGCCAGACTGTTCCACGGCCGCCTCTGCCCGTCTCCAGGGGTAGAGACTTTCAGACGCCGTAGCTTAGCGAAGTGTTTAGTAGTCCCTAGACGGGAACGTGCTGCCCTTTGCCAGCCTGTGGCTGGCGAGACGCTGAGGCCCAGGGAGGGACACAAGTTAGTGGGAGGGGCCTCGGGCAGCTGCCGTGGGCGTGGCGGGCGTGGCTGTACCCTGGGTCTGGGAGGCACTGACCGGAAGAAAGGAGAAAGCACAGCCCCGTGGCCCCCAGCACCCCCCACCCCCCGTGCCTCGCGTGGGATCTGACAGGAGCTTCACAGAGAAGCTGGTCTTGTGAAATGGGGCCAGTGGTGTGCCAGGCACCCGGAATGTGGTAAAACACAAATCCTTTCAATTAAATAAAAGGCACCAACTCAAACTAAACTGGAAAATCTTAATTTGGAAAGTGCTTAAAATGGGAGAGTGCGGAAGGCCGGCGTCGCGGCTCACTAGGCTAATCCTCCACCTTGCGGCGCTGGCACACCGGGTTCTAGTACCGGTTGGGGCACCGGATTCTGTCCCAGTTGCCCCTCTTCCAGGCCAGCTCTCTGCTGTGGCCAGGGAGTGCAGTGGAGGATGGCCCAAGTGCTTGGGCCCTGCACCCCATGGGAGACCAGGAGAAGCACCTGGCTCCTGCCATCAGATCAGCGCGGTGCGCCAGCCGCGGTGGCCATTGGAGGGTGAACCAACGGCAAAGGAAGACCTTTCTCTCTCTCTCTCTCTCACTGTCCACTCTGCCTGTCAAAAAAAAAAAAAAAAAAAGGGAGAGTGCATGGCTGGGCAGCAGTCAGGTTTTTTTTTTTTTTTTTTTTCTTCCAGATTCATTTATTTGAACGCAAAGTTACAGAGAGGTCTTCCATCTGGCTCACTCCCCCAAATGGCCACAAAGGCCGGAGGTGGGCTGATGAGGAGCTTCTTCTGGGTCTTCCCACGCAGGTGCAGGGGCCCAAGGGCTTGGGCCATCTGCTGCTTTCCCAGGCCATAGCAGAGAGCTGGAGCGGAAGTGGAGCAGCGGGGACTCGAACCGGCGCCCACGTGGGATGCCAATACTGCAGGCAGCTGCCTTGCCCGCTAGGGCGCAGCGCCGGCCCCTCAGGGCTTCTTGGGAGTCTGAGGCGTCTGGAGACATCAGCTCAGTTAACCGAGGGCGCCAGACTTGGCCCGCGGTGGGCTGAGGCTGTGGCCGGCCCCCGACCAAACGCTGCGCTTTGAGGGGATGGGGCCGTGGCGGCCCGGACCCTCCCCTCACCCCCGGGCCTTTCTGACTGGACAAAATGGTGGGAGCCGCCCCCCGCGTGCCTGCCCGGGAGGAGGGTCCCTGACGGGGGCGGGACCCCAGGCCCCCCACGCGGACTCCCCTTGGGGGAGGGGGCGAGCCCCGGCCGAGGCGGCCTCGCTCCGCGGGGCGCGCGGGCGCCCCCACAACCGGGCAGCGAGCCGGGCGCCCCTCGTTCCAAACGTCCGCCGGCCGCGAGGCCCCGGCTCGAGTCTGGGACGCGGCCCGGCCGGCGTTGGAGGCGGCGGCGTCCGGCGACCGTCGTCCGGCGCGGCTGGACCCAGGCACAGGGGCGCGGCGAGGGGCCCGGGGGCGGGGGGCACGCAGGGCGCACGATGCCGCCCGAGACGGCGGCGACCACGGTGACCCTGCGGGAGCTGGCCGACCTGGCCATCGGCACGCCGGAGGTGGGCGCCGTCAACTTCACGGCCCTGCACACGCTCATCGTGGCCATGCTCAAACACCTGAGCCTGCTGGGCACGCGCGTCGACTACCAGTCGGCCTCCGAGTCCGGCGGCTTGCTGGAGCCCACCTGGTCCTCGCACAGCGCCCCGCACCTGTCGCCAGAGACGCCGCCGGCGCCCAAAGAGAGGCGCCGGAGCGGTAGCCGCTCGCAGCAGCCGGCGCTGGAGAGCCAGGTGCAGGACCTCAGGCAGCAGCTCAAGGCCATGGGCAGCAGGGTGCAGGACATCGCCTCGCAGGTGCAGCACATCTCCTCCCAGGCCAGCGAGCTCGACCTGCCGCCCCGCGAGTGGCTGGAGGAGAAGAGCAGGCCCTCCCAGGGCTCCGAGAGGCCGGACCGGACGCACAGAAGGATCTCGAAGCCCCCGAAGGACAGCGAGGTCGTCCCCCCCAAGGTGAGCCGCGGGGCCCCGGCTGCAGCTGAGCCTGGAGCCGCGGGGCCGGGGGCGGGGGCGGGGGTCCCACCCTGGCGCTCTCCCTGGCAGGCCGCGGGGCTGCTGCAGGACCTGGTGGACGAGGTGAGAATCCTCAAGGAAGCCCAGGACAAGATTCAGGAGCTGCCCGCGTTGAAGCCCCAGGTGAGGGCACGTGGGCGACGGGCAGCCCCGCCCCAGGGACCCAGGCTGACCCAAAGGCCAGCGGCCAACTCGGAATATTCTTAGAGCGAACCCGCACTTGCAGAAGAACACGCTTCAGCACGCTGGTGCCCCCGACACCGGGGCTCCTCCCCCGGTCGGCGGTGCGAGATGGGTGCTGGGCCCTGCTCCCCTCCCCGGCATCCGACGACACCCGCTGGTCTGGGAAGCGCGGGGCGCCCCAACCAGGCGAACACCAGGCGGAGCCCCTCCTGGGCCCAGGACCCACCCTGCCCCCCCCCCCCCCCCCCGTCCTCGCTCTCTGCACATGGAGGGTCCCGGGAGGCTGATGGCCGCCCTGACCCTCCCTCCGCCTCTGAACGCTTCTTCCAGGAGATCCTGCAGCGGATCGAGGAGGTGGAGAAGACAGTGCGGGGTCGGGATGAATTCCTGGTAACCTCGGCCGCTTCTGCCCGCAAGGCCCTGTGGGGTGGGGGCGGCCGTCCCAGCCTGGCCTCCCCTGGGCGGCTTGTCCACACTCCCCCTGGTGTCTCTTCCCTCCCGGGTGGGGTGCTGTGTGGCGGGCTCCCTGGTCCCCCCACGGATAGTGGGTTCTCCCGTTAGCCAGGGCTGTGAGCCTCTCTGTTGTCCTCAGGAACTCGTGGGCCGGAAGCTGAGTCTCATTCCTGGCCAAGAAGAAGTCACCATGGTGACCTGGGAGGAGCTGGAGCAGGCGATTACCGACGGCTGGAGGGCCTCCCAGGCGGTGACCGCGGGGCCGGGCCGGGGTGGGACCGCCCGAACCCCCTGTCTGCGCCGTGCACTGCGCCGGCCTCTGGGTGTCTATAACTTAGTTCACAAGTTCCAAATCACAGGCACATTTTTTTTCCTCTTGGAGATTTATTTGAGAGGTAGTCACAGAGCATGAGAGAGAGAGAGAAAGAGAGAGAGAGAGAGAGAGGTTCTTCCATCCTCTGGTTCACTCCCCAAATAGCCACAACAGCCAGAGCTGGGCCGATCTGAAGCCAGGAGCCAGGAGCTTCCTCAGGGTCTCCCACGTGGGTGCAGGGGCCCAAGGACTTGGGCCATCTTCTACTGCTTTCCCAGGCCACAGCAGAGAGCTGGATTGGAAGTGGAGCAGCCGGGACTCGAACCAGTGCCCATATGAGATTCCGGCGCTGCGGGCAGGGGCTTAACCTACTACGCCACAGCTCCAGCCCCCAGATTGCAGGCACTTTGTTCTTTTCCCCCAAGCTTTTGACAGTTCCCCAGACTGGCACTGACACGTGTGAGCAGGACAAAGTCCTAGGCACGGCCGGCAGCCGCGGGATGGCCCTCCGGGGTGCTGCTCCGGATCAGACTCCCAGCAGTGGGCGGGGGGGAGGGGGGATTCAGTCTGTCCTGGAGACCCTGTGCAGGTGCGGCCGCGCACACGGTGTGGTGCGTCTGTGCTGAGACGGGGTGACCCAGACCCTGGGCCTTTCGTATGAGCATCAGCTGCTCACCCACACAGAGGCAGCCGCAGACTGGACCTTTTGGCGCCACCAGGTGGCCACCTGGGGGAGCGCCAAGAGTCTTCCAAATGGGCTCCTTCTCAGGCAGTAGTCGGAGTTTCCTACACACAAGGAGTGACTGGGAAAGGTGGCCCCCGCTCTCGCTGTTTTATTTCTTTTAGATATTTATTTTATTTGAAAGAGTTACACAAAGACAGAGGGAGACCTTCCACCCGCTGGTTCACTCCCCAGATGGCCGCAACAGCCAGGGCTGGGCCAGGAGCTTCCTCTGGGTCTCCCACGTGGGTGCAGGGGCCCCAGCACTCAGGCCATCGTCCGCTGCCTTTCCAGGCCGTAGCAGGGAGCTGGGCCGGAAGTGGAGCAGCCAGGACTTGCACCGGTGCCCATACGGGATGCCGGCGCTGCAGGTGGCGGCTTTACCTGCTATGCCGCCAGCTCCGGCCCCTCGCTGTTTTCTTTCTAAGCCCAAGTTTCCTACTCAGCACTGATGTGTTGCCCTGAGAATCAACACGTTTTCTCTGGGTGACAGCTGAGGATTCCTGCAAAACCTTAGAGCGCCGTCAGACATTGTCACTTGTCCAGAGGTGAGAGTCTGCACGCGCTGGGCGTAGGTAGCCCTGAAGCGGGTGGGAGTGCAGATGAGTGTTAGCAGATTTCTGAGAGACAAGAGTACAAGCCCTGGGAATGACAGGTTCAGCCACTGCACGGAATAACAACGAATAATGCGATAATCACGAGATAATGAAATAAGCAACAGGAGTCCGACCCCAGCTCCACCCGGCTGCAGCGTTGCTGGGGCCCCCTAGCGTAACCGCGGGGTCAGGAGTTTGAGATCGGGTGGTGGGTTTTGGTGGACAGCAGTAATCCTAAGGCACTATGAGGCGGGCTCTCTGCCTGGCTCATGCGTGGAGAGGTCGGGCGTGGGCAGTGAGCACAGGGCTGTGACGGGCGCAGAGGAGTGGCAACCCCGCCCCCCTCCCCACCCACCGTGGTCAGCCAGGCGGGAGGGAGGCGGCTGCACCTGCGCACGGAGCAGCCTCCGGTGAGGGCTCCAGGCCAGCGTGGGAGATGCCCTGTCCAGGACGGGGCTGCAGGAGCAGAGACGGACCGGCCCCTCCCAGGGTGTGTTCCCGCACATCTTCACGCTTCGTCCACACGGCCGCTGCCACCCACGACGGTGCCCCTGCCTCCCCTCTTTCTTCTGCTTTTGAGAATTCCCGCTCGACACCAAGTCCACGTGTGTGCTGCCGTGCGCAGCGTGATGCCCTGGTGCACGGGAACAAGCGTCCACTGATGGACTGATTGACGTATCGATGTCTCCAGGCACGGATACAGTGTGTGACGATCGGAGCTGGTGGCACACCCATCACCTCGGGCATGTCTCATTTCTTGGTGGCAAGAACACCAACAGCCCTCTGGCGGCTGTGCTGGAATCCACAGTGCGTCGCTGTTGAGTGACCCTGCTGTCCCATCACAGCCGCCGGCTGACCTCTGCCACCCGCCGCCACCACTTTTCACCTGCGAGAAGAATGAAAGACCAGACACACCACGGAGACCCCACCCTGGAGCTCGAGTCACAGCCGCATTAAGGGGGGAACCGTCCTCCGTTCCCTGTGACTGCGACCGAAGAATCGACTGAGTGGCGGCCAGCTCAGCCGCCACAGGCCCGGGACAGGAAGACGCTCAGCCCCCAGTGAGCACTTTGCCAGGCCCCAGGGTTGCGGAAACAGCTCGACCACGGTCAAGGGCATTTCTCTGTGGAAGGAGGAAGCAGAGCCAGAGTCTCTGTGGGACCTCTGTGGAGGGAGGGGCTGTCCGAGGGTCTGCCGCAGACACGTTTGGAATGGCCTGGAAACACGTCCCCTCTCTTGTCATCCTGGAGAACCCACATCCGAGTCTCCCGGCACAAACCAGAGAGCAGAAAACACAGCCCCGCCAGGAAGGCGCCGGGGCCAGGTGCTCTGCTCGGAGCTGTCGGACAGGACCGTGGTGGTCGGTGTGAGCTGAGCCAAGCTGTGTGCCGGCAGGTGAATTTGGGGGACACTGGGGTCTTAGACTGGAGTTAGGATTTCTGATGTCGGGGATGGGGGTGCATGTGTGTGTGTGTCTCAGGATCTGTGAGCCCAGATGCATCTCTCTCACTATAAAAAAATGCATATGAACTCATTTTCATCTACTGAGTGACAGAGAGACGGACAGGGAGACCAAGAGGTCTTCCCTCCGCTGGTTCACTCCCCAGGCCTGGGCCGGGCTGAAGCCAGGAGCCCAGAACTCCATCCAGACCTCCTGTGTGGGTGGCGGGGACCCAGGAACTTGAGTGGTTATCTGCCGCCTTTCCAGGCTGCGTGGGCAGGAAGCCGGAGCGGAAGCCGAGCAGCCGGGACTCTGAGAAAGCAGTGGCCTGCCCCGCCGTGTCAGACGCAATGCCTTACGCCCCTTTCTCAGGTGAAACCTCACGGAGCCCCTCGCTAAATTGCTGCGGATGTCTAAAGGATGAGAACCCAGCAGGTGAACAGTGAGGTCAGGATGGACGCGACTCATCCCGCCTTGGCGTGTCGTCACTGACCCCAAGACCCAGCTCCCCCAACACACGTCCCCGCGTCTCATGCCCGGATGTGGGCGCGCCTCCGTGTGCTTAAAACCATGGTGCGGCTCGAGGTGGCACCGGCGGATTGGGACGCGTGGACAGAGACAGCACGTGGCAGGTTTTGGTCGGAAGGCCTTGCAGGATGATTGCGGGGCGGGTGGGAGTTGTCTCGACGGAGCGCCTGACCCCCGGCTCCCGTGTTCCTGGCCTGAGGTCGCGGGGGAAGGCACAGAGCCTCACACAGGCGACTCTGGTCCCCAGGATTCCTCCCAGGAAGGGGGCTGTGCGTCGCAGCATGGTTACTTAGGCTTTGGGGGGCAGCATCAGGTGTTGGTGTGGTTTGTGTTTGGGGTCAGCCTTGGCGCTCACTGCTTCCGGGTCCGGAGTGACACCTGTCTCCTCTGTCTGTGCCCCGCGTTTCTCCCCCTGCCTCGGTAGCTTTTATGTCCCTGTTTTCCTCAAAGTCTTTGTTCTGTGAGACCCTGACTTTGCCCTTGGTCACTGTAGTGGGCTGGACGGTGGCTCCCCGGATTCTCACGTCCTGGCCCCCCCAGCTGGGATGTTGTGTACGCGGCAAAGGGACTTGGCTGAGGTATGGAGATTACCCAGGTGGATCCCATGGTCGCCCAAGTGGATCCCGTGACCCAGCCTTGACGACAGGGAGGCAGACGCAGATTCTGCCCCAGAGGAGAAGGTGATGCGGCCGTAGCCAAGGAACGCAGCAGCCGTCAGGAGCTGAAAAAGACAAGGAAGTGGGGTCCCCCCTCGGACTTCTGGGAGGACACAGCCCGGCCAGTGCCATGATGATGTCTGCCCAGTGAAACTGGCCTGGACGTAGCCTCTTGCAGTGTAGGTGAAGATCCCTGTTGTTTCGAGCTGAGTTTGGGTTCACTGGCTCCAGTGGCCGTGGAAAACACGCGCCGTCTCCTGGTTCCTCGTGAGGCAGTTTACCACCGGCCACTTCCCAGGTCAGCTGAATTTTTTTTTTTTTTTTTTGACAGGCAGAGTGGACAGTGAGAGAGAGACAGAGAGAAAGGTCTTCCTTTGCCATTGGTTCACCCCCCCAATGGCCACTGCAGCTGGCGCACTGCGCTGATCTGAAGCCAGGAGCCAGGTGCCTCTCCTGGTCTCCCATGGGGTGCAGGGCCCAAGCACTTGGGCCATCCTCCACTGCCCTCCCGGGCCACAGCAGAGAGCTGGCCTGGAAGAGGGGCAACCGGGACAGAATCCGGCGCCCCGACCAGGACTAGAACCCGGTGTGCCAGTGCCGCAGGCGGAGGATTAGCCTAGTGAGCCGCGGTGCCGGCCTGAATTGGTTTTTAATATATATATTTTTAAGATTTATTTATTTGAAAGGCAGCATTATGAAGAGAGAGAGAAGGAGAAACAGAGAGAGATCTTCCGTCCGCTGGTTCACTCTCCAAAGGGCTGCAGTGGCCGTGGCTGGACCAGCCAGGAGTCAGAGTTTCATCTGGTCTCCCATGAGGGTGCAGGGGCCCAAGCACTTGGGCCATCTTCCTCTGTTCTCCCAGTTGCATTAACAGGGAGCTGGATCAGATGTGGAGTAGCCAGGACTTGAACTGGTGCCCATATGGGATGCCGGCACTACAGATCATGGCTTAACCTGCTACACCACAGTGTTGGCCCCAATATGTTTTCTGAATT